CACCACGCACGTCAGCGGCTCACACGCAGTCAAACAAATGTCCCTCGGATCAGTGGCCTCCACCTGCTGCGGTGGGAAGTAAAAAAAAAGAGACGAGCAGCCAAACCCCAAAAGAGTGCCACGACTGGCCGCAACTCAACGGAACGCAGTCACCCAAATGAATTCAGTCCTAATGCCCTTAGCCTCCCACCTTCCCCACAAAAGCTGCAAAGATTGAAAACAAACGCACCGTCCAATAAACTCTTTGTGCAAAGCCAAAAGAAGCCGCAGTGCCTCCTGCTGCCCTCACAGTCCGTTGATGACGCCTGGATGCGGATGGTCACCCATCGGTACTTCCAAACGACGCCGCACACCCGCGACGCATCCTGCGCTCTGAGACATGCGGCCCTCACTATCACCAGAGACGCCCACGCACCGTCGTACGCAACAAATCGTCAAGAAACGAAGGATAAGTCAGACTGACAGCAAGACACCCGCCGACAAGTCACAGCACAAACATCATCACAAGCAGAACCAAAAGCAATGCAGGCCGCAGAGTAAAGTGAATCAAATGACGCATGGCGTATGTAAAAGAAAAAAAAAACTCAGTGGCGCTACAAGAATACAAGAGGCTGACACTCTCTCAACAATAAAGGAAAAGTATAATAATACACAAAAAGACAATTTAGGCGTCCACCATCAAAGCAAGCCACAAATCGAATAAAAAGGGCAATGAAATGGGTGCACTCAACCAAACCACACGTAAAACAAAACAAGAAGCCGAAGCGTGGGACGACCAGCGCACACACACTCTCATTGCTCCCGTAAAGCAAAACACACACACAGAGGGAGAGAGAGAGAGGTCGCCCACTCAATGCAATAAAAACAAAACAGAAACAGTTACGGTGCTCCGCCCATGCAGCCAGGCAGGACGGCAGCGGTGCGTGTCGTGCAAAAGAGAGCACCAACGGGCCTGCATGGGTGTGCATGCATATATACAATGGGCACATTATGTGTGTGCCTCGTGGGGTGAGGTGAGGGCGAGAGTCCATGCAAGGAGACACACACACAGAGAGAGAAGGAAGAGTGTGTGTGCGGGCGGTGCATGGCTCTCTCACACTCACTCTCACGCGGCCACCACCGCAGCAGCACACGCAACAAGAAGAAGAAGAGGCAAAAGAGGGGAGGTGGTGTGGGAGACCGCGGCGCTGCTGTCACTGTCGCCAACCTTTTCATTATCGCCAGTTTGGCGTTTTTCTGTCGCTGCAGCATCCGGAGTTCGAGCATCCTCGGATGTCTTCGTCCCTGTGGAGTGTTCCTCCTCAAAAGGGGAAGGTTCTTCGCTTGTAGATGGCTCAGTTTCTTGTTCTTGACTGCCAGTTGATGTACTCTGCGCCGTACCTTCCGTAGAGGCAGAATATTCTTTATTTTCCTTTTGTTGTTCGGGTAGTTTCGTGGATGTATCCGTGCTTTGGCTTTCATTCGTCTTTTGTTCCGGAGTTAACATTCCATTTTGGGTTTTGTGCTCCGGCGATACTGTGTTTGGCACTGTCGTTTGGACCGGTTCACTGCTTTCTGATTTTGTACCTGGACTGTTTAATAAGTCTTCTTCTATGGGGTTGTGTGGATCCTCGTTTCCACTACTTTCCACTCCCAATGAGGACTGACCTTCTCCACCCTTACTGTTCTCGCCAACACCTTCACCCCTTTCTGAGGCAGGATTGTGTGGCTGCGGCTGCGGTAGCGGTTGTAACTGTTGCGGTTGTGGCTGCGGTTGCTGTAGTACATTTCCTTACGATTTTGGCGGTTGCCCTACTTCCTGTTCTTTATTTTGTATTTCTGGCTTTGTTTTTCCTTGTTCTGGAGCATTTTTCAAACGTTCTTCTAATTGCTCTGAAGAGCTTCTATCTTCACCCTCCACTCCAGGAGCAACAAACAGTTGATCATTTTTAACTTCTTTTCCTTCCAAGGATTTTCCTTCAGACTTTTCTGTTGATTGATTAACCTTGGGCAAACCTTTTGTTGGATCTAAGCTATCTGATCCTGGCGTTGAAGTTCAAGTCGACCCCACAGCAACTTTACCACCACCGGCAGGAATCTCCACCACCTCCTCGTCACATCTACCGCCGGCAGCGCACCACAGCACGCAGAGGGCACACACCAGCAGCACACGGCCAGTCATCATCATCACCACTCCTGTCACTTGCGTTTAGCCTTCAGCACAAACTAACTCCCCATCAACGAAGAGTGAAAGCAAAAAGGAGAGACACGTCACGCAATCACGCACAGTCACAAATGGCAATGAAAACACCATGAGGCAGTTGGAATCAGTACAATTGCAGAGCTCGCACAGTGATCCCCAAACCAAAAGTTTAAAAAGCAGTAAAAAAGGCACAACAGCAGAGTTGAGAGTCCGGTAAAATTCCCAAAAAGTAAAAAATAAAAAATCGATCAGGGACGTCCTTTATTTTATGTGCCAAGCAGCGCAAAGTAAACGACCACTAGTTTTTGTATACGTAATGCCTGCAGTAAAAAATCAAAAAAGATCGTGCTTTTCCGTGAGCCCACACAACTCTCCTCACATTTCGTGCGTCACCCAGTCTTTTCTTCCAATCCTCCTTTCGTGCAGTCCGTGGGACGCACAGCAATGAGGCCGGCACCGCGTGTGGGCAACGGAAGGAAACAAGAGGAGAAACACGTCACTCATGACAAAGTACGACAAGCAACCATTGGGGAAAAACACAGGGATGCTGATTATTCCAATAGGGCAAAAGCAGCAAAAATAAATAAATAAAAGAAAATAAAAAAACTTAAATTATTGACACAACTCATTGAGTGATGCTGGCAAGCTGCACAGTTATTGTTCCACAAAAAGCCGTAATTCCACCCTCCCTCACACCTCAGCAAAGTGCTGCAGTGCCCCACAGCCCCAGAATCAAAAGCAACATCACCCGAGACACACACATGCACGGTGATGTTGCCAATTAAAGCCATGGCCAACAAATCAACGAACTGCCCGTGCTCAAGCAAAATGACATGGTCCAAGGGTATTGTTGCGTTGAACTCCGATGGGATCTCCGATTTTCCAGAAGTTGTGCGCAAATAATCCTGTGCGGCATCACCGCCACCCAACACGTTACCACTCGTTCAGCATTTGCTAGGACTGTGCTGGGCTCAGGCGTGGCTGTTGTACCATCCAAGGGCATTAGATCACTGTTGCTGCGTGAATCGGGGCCGCTGCCCATGCCCACGGCAGCGCAGGCATAATTCTCCTATTCATGCCCAACGTCTTGTTACTCGCTGGAAACTGTGTTGGCAGTGGATAGATCGTCTTCTCTTGCTGTGCGCGCGTCTGGATCCGCGCTTCCACTCAAGTCCCCGGAGAGCCGCGCTGCCTGTGGAGCCTCACCGCGCAGCTGCTGGCAGCCTCGCATGCACATATAGGGCAGACTGCCTTGCGATCGAAAATGTTTTTAGACATCTCATACCTCCTTGTCTGGGAACATCCCAATCGCCCACACGAATGCTGGAGGAAACGGACTCCCTCTCGGCAATGGAGGCACCCCGCGTTGCCCACCGACCGTGCGAGACCGCGTTACTGAGCAAATTTGGATTATGCTGCTTTCCTTGGTGAAGCGAGGTCACCCTGTGGATTTTATATTTTCCCATCACACTGCGGTATTCCACGCAGTGAGGCCGCTGACAAACAAGCCACGATTGCACGATTCCTCCCGCAGGACTGCGTCAATGCCTGGCACGTGGACTTCCTCACTGCAGTGAAGAGGTTATAATGGAAGGATGCCCAGGAGGAAAAGGAGGGCGCACACACCGCGTGGCAGGCGCCTGTCGGTGTGGCGAGGACTCTATTCCTGGTGTTGACCCGGACATCGGTCCCCGAGTGGCGGCACTGCGCACAGGCGCGATGCGACTCCTGCCCGCTCTTCGACAGGCCTGCACGCGCCCTGCGGATCACAAGGAACCCTCTGTGTCGGTGGTGCCGTCCCTCCCTCACTGCGGTGACCGGCCCGCCTCTGCCCTCGCCGGAACCTCTTCCCGACGTGAGCGCCGCAACTCCTTGTCGACCAGCGAGCGGCGGATTGACGTCCTCCTGCCCAACCTGCGGCAGAGTGCGCTTGTCCGTCCACAGTATGAGGGCACATGCCGGACGTGCTCAGCCTGGCGTTATAATGGTTGGAGGGGGCCTCCCATGCGGATGCCACAATGGTGCCACCGTCTTCCTAACGGGTGCCTCGCGCGCGGGTCGCCGCCAAAGTTGCCAAGCATGCCAGCAGGCAACACACGCAGGAAGCACAAACGCGGGTACTCGAGATGGACCAGGCTCTTCCGCCACCGCCTCATCACGGGCGCCACGGGCTGCTGATCCCCGACGGACCACGGGAGACTCCGCCTCATCCACTGCGGGAATGCCCTCGTCGTTGGGAATCTGGGACTGCGACTGTGTGGGACTGCCCCAGCCCGCACGACGGAATACTTGCCACTTTTGTACGGACGGCCCTTGCGCTACTCACTCGTTATTGTAGCAGCATACAACCAAAACAAGATAACAAGCTGCTTTGTGATGAATATTGGCTGCACTTCCCGTGGACCAACAATCCGCGTGGTGTGCGGGGATCTCCTTTTTGTATTGTTACTTTGCTGTTGTGTTGCTGTGTGCGCTGCACCTTCTTGTGTGTGCGCACCCTCCGTGAGGGGTGCCGACACGACGGACCGCTCTCGCCGCATGTGCATGCGGTGGAGCCTTGTGTGCCGCTCCTGTTTGCTTCTCCCTCTTCCATCTGTGTGTTGGTGTTGCGGCAGGGCTGTGTGTGTGTGTGCCTGCTGCCGTGGATTGGAGTGTGTGTTGTGCGTGGTGTGCGGCTTATGGTGCATGCCTGGCTGCTGCCCTCTCCTCATGTGGTGTGCCCTCTGTGTGTGTCTGCCGCACCTCTCGTCTCCCCTGTTGCTCTCCATGTCCCTCACTGTGCAGATCAGCTCCACACCACTGAACGACCACACTCACGATGATGATGACGCGCCGTCTGCTGTGCGCCCTGTTGGTGCTTGCCCTGTGCTGCTGCTGCCCGTCCGTGTGCGCGGCAGACACTGAGTTGGAGGAGACTGGAAATCTTGTTGGAGAACAAGGCGACGGCATACCGCTTCCTCCACCACAGCCACCAACTGCTAAGCCGGTTGAGGCTATTGTAAGTGCCCCTATTCTACCCCCCCGTGCAACAGGAAGACCAGCGGACCCCGGTCATTCAGATCCTCCAACAACAGGGTCCGTTGCAAAGCCGGGAGATGATGGCGGAGAGAGACCAGGATCTACCAGTACGGAAACGAATCCAGATGACGAAAAAAATACAGTACAGGCAGATGGTAAGAAGGGTAAGAAAGGGTCATCCAGTGACAAGATACTATCCGAGGAACAGGCAAATAGGGAGTCTGAAGATTCTACAGAGGAGACCACTACGACGACCACAACACAGCCACCAACCACGACCACCACCACTGCGCCAGAGGCACCCAGCACTACGACTACTGAGGCGCCAGCTGTGTCGACCACCCGCGCACCGTCACGTCTTCGCAGAATCGACGGCAGCCTCAGCAGCTCTGCGTGGGTGTGTGCCCCGCTGCTGCTCGCCGCATCCGCGCTGGCGTACACCGCTGTGGGCTGAAGAGGTGTGTGCGGGCTGTGCGTGCCAGCACTCAACCGCGGGGATTTGTGCGTGTGTGTTGTGGTCCACTGTATAAATAAGAGAAAACAATGATCTTGTTTTGCTTCATTTGCTTCTGCTGCCGTGCTGTGTGCTCCGCGTTTTGCCCCGCATCCGCCACGTTGAACGCATCGCGGACACACTCATATGCATGCGCACTGGAGCTCTGGGTTTGTTTTCTTTTCTTTTTTAATTATTGTTTTTTAATTATTGTTTTTTATTGCTTTTTAATTATTGCTTTTTAAACTTGTAGTTTGCGGTGCGGTGTGCGAGCTCTGCAGTCGTACTGATTCCATCTGTCTCGTGGTGTGTGCGCTGCTGCTGGGGTGCTGCCATTTGTTGCTGTGCGTGGTGTAGCGGCTGTGTCTATCTTTTGCTTCCTCTCTCCGCTGAATGGGATTTATTTTGTGCTGAGGGCCACACGTAAAAGAGAGGAATGATGGCGATGATGACTGGCCGTGTGCTGCTGTTGTGTGTCCTCTGCGTGCTGTTATGGCGATAGCGGTACGTGTGAGTATTAGCTCTTGCGGTGGCGTGCTCAGCTGCAGAGGGAATGCGCGGAGGAGGTCGGCAGAAGGACAGGAGGCAGGGCGAATGCGTCCGCCGTGGAGGAATGCGTGCGTCGGGGGATGGACGGTGTGCGTGCCGTTGTGGATGGGCGTCGTCGTTGGAGGCCTCAGCGGTATGCGCTGGTTGCTAAGGATCCTGAAGATGGCCCCACCGAAGCTATTTCCGTTGGATCAACGCTACCACCGCTGGTCCAAGAAACGCAAGGCACTTTACAGGGCTCGGCATTGAGGGATCAAGAGAAATCTTTAAAAGGAGGTGCAGGAGGGGGAACAGAATTGGGATTAGAACAACCGCAGCCTGAAGAATCGTCCGTCACCAAAAATAAGGAGTTAGACGTACGGCGGGAATTAATGGACGATGAAAACAAGAGTGTGCCCGAGAGAAAAGTGTTAGTTGGTTCAGATCTAAAGGACTCCAAGGCGATGAAAGTACCGGCGAATCAGCCGGAGGTGGATGCTTTATTGCCTTCTTCAAGTGATGTTCGTGCCGCTGACGTTCCGGGAGGAGTATCCTCTGATTTGTCTTCTGAAGTTTCTCGATCGTCTGAAGCCAGCGGAAAAGGAGGAGGCGACCAACAAAAAAACACAAGTGTGCCGCAAAAACATCAGCAG